CTCTCTCTCTCTCTCTCTCTCTCTCTCTCTCTCTCTCTCTCTGAAAGCTCCTTATCTGCCGGCCAGCAGAGGCTTATCTCGGAGGTGTAGCGTGTCTCTAAATACGGGGAACACCCTGAAGTGACTTTATCAGTCGGTGCCCGCCGTTGTCGTGTGCCTTGTCCTCCTGTACCCTCTGTCACATCCCCACCGTGAACTCGGGGCCAAAAGCTTTCACACGGTACACAAGGTCCCACGCTGATCTGCCCGAGAAGCGGGTCTCTCTCCCCGCTCTGAATAAGAAACTTGCCCCCTCTCCGCGTGGCTCAAGTTCATGCACCCACGCAATTAACTTCACACATAACCGGCGCCGTCACTCTGTCCGAGTGTCAGGTGAAACTGAAACTCGTGTTTTCCCAGAAAGTTCAGATGCACTGTACGAAAAGAAAAAACGCAAAAAGCCACGTAAAGAAAAAGATGAAGGGGGTGGAAGGAGACTTACGGACTAACTTCTTATCTCGTGGGCCGTCCCGGGACGCTGTCCTGTCCGGTTGTATTGTCTCGGTGGATCTGCGTGTTGGTGCTGCGGGTCTATTTTCATTTATGGCTCACGGGTTTTTCTAGGATCAGTCTGCGTGACCCCGGAACAGCTCAGGCCCTGAGGACGGGGTTTCTCTCCTCGGTGGTCTGTTTTTCTATCGGTTGTATTCCAGAGCGAGTGGGGAAACGCAGGGGCACCACCACAGTCTCGGCCACGGACGGAACAGTACACTGTGGATGTGCGGCGAGCCCGTGAACGCGCACGAGGACCACAGAGGTCCGGCAGTAGTACCCGACGCGTTCGCGTTGACAGATGAGAGGGCCACCGCTGTGGCCGGAGAGGAAAATGCTGAAACTGCAGCAGCCCGCATCCTCCAGCCGACCTGAGCGATGGGCTGACTTTAAGAGCGGCTTTATTTCTGTGAAGTGTTCTGGAAATGCTGCTTTCAAGTTCACGTTTGGGACTCTTGAGAATTATCACTCAAGATAATGAGCTCAAAAACTTCTTATGCAAAGTTTTTGAACTCTCGACCTCTTTCTAAATGTCTTTTAATGAGCTCTAAGCCTATAGAACAATTTTCTGGTGCTACAGAACCGCTAATCCATTTCTGTTAATGGTGCGTGACAGGGATGTAGTGGTGGGTGAAGTTTAGCCTGCTTTTCTTGCACGATTTCATCCTTTATGTCTGGAAATAACCTTGAATCTGGATTACACAAACTAAAGGAAGAAGGTGGAAATGCGCTGAAAAATATTGGAAAATGTGTGTTTTGGCATTTTTTAAAGAATTTTTTTCTTTATTGTTAATTTTATATAATATCTAAATATGTATGTTCCGTTTAGGCTCTCCTCACAAGCACGCGGTTTTACAGTGGTTGTTATAAATATAATTACAGGTGAAAACGATTTGCAGTATTATCATAATACAAACAGTGTGAAAACAACTGTAACAGACGGCGAGCTCCTGACAAAGCTTACTATCACTTAATTACAAACCTATTGCAATCTAATTCTGTGACTGGATCTAAATCCGAGTCATTTATGACAAATAAAAATGACTACAGAACTTTTTCCTTATAAGCTCTACAGCACCAAACTTTTCTAAAAGCCCGGAGTTACTTTTTCAGGTGATGCGGTCCAATCACAGCCCTGCTGTGGGGTTTAAGCACAGTCCTGCAGCCCGAGTCTGCGGCTGTCATCGCGGTTTGTTGTGGAGAAGAGATAAGCGGAGTGCGCACGGACTTTTCAAAACGAGCAGCCCCGGTGGTGGCGCGGGCTGACCGTCCCGGCGCCTCCACGCAGATGCAGCAGGACGGGTCTTACCTGGATTCAGTCGTTCGTCATGCGCTGTATGCTTCTTGCAAACTTGACGACTCTTTGGGGGGAGCGACGCTGACAGAGTTTTCGGCGGCGAGAACAGGAGTCAGTGCAAACAGCTTCCAAATCCCGTGCGTAAAGTCACCATCGCTGGAGCCTGTCGCGGACTTTGGTAACTCCGTGTTTGCGCTCCGCCGAGGATCAGAAAGTACACCGGGACACTTCGGCGTCGTCGTCAGAAGTTGCGCTGAGTCACACCGGAGGTCACCCGGAGGATTCTTTTTAATCAAAAGTATTTCAGGTTATTTCCCGGCCGGCGCTGTGTGGCGGCTTAAGTGAGAGTGCGGGGCACTGTCGGGTGAAGAGGCAGAGGCTGGATAACCCCTCCTCTCTCTCCCTCTGGCTCTCTCTCTCCTTTCCTCTCTCTCCCTCGGCTATTTATCCGTCTCTGTCCGCCTGTGTCACTTTCTTTGTTTATGTTTGATGAAACGTAAACCATTCTATATTTTTCTTGTTCACTCCTGTACAGGTACTTTTTACCCCTGACTTTTCTTGTCACCCGTGTCCCAGCCTTTCCTCTCAGTGTGTGTGTGCAGCCTTTGAGCGCACGTGCGTGCATGCTCGCACCAGGCTGCCGGTCAACAACTCGCGATCACCCGCGCGATTAAAAAAGGAATAAAATTGCGATTTGATTTCTTTGATTCCTCCGTGATTTTATTCCCCTTGCAAACTTTTTTCTTTTTTGTATCAGAAATCACCCAGAACTAAAACTCACGCAGTGATTAGGCTAAGCTGCTTGTTTTATATGGATTAAAAAATATATTGATCAAAAAAATGGGATGGGGGACATTTTAGTAAATAAATACCAATGAAAGTTTTTTACTCTGTTTTGCAATAACACGAACATATATATGTATATATAATTTTTTTTTTAAATCAATGTATACATTATTTTATATATTATAATATAAAATCAATTTGAACATCAAATTGCGCATATTAATATTTCTCTCTTGTGTGTTTGTTTTTTGTTTAGTTGATTTGTTTGTTTGTTTTTAAATAATAAAGGAGATCTGTAAATCAGGATCCGGCCTATTCTTCATTTTCCTAAAGAAAAAAAATATTTGATGTAAATTAATACATGAGGGGGATGAGATTGGTGGATGCAGCGTTTTAAGCCCATTTACATGAACGAGTTTCCCGTTTAATACTTCGTTGATTGTCCTTCGCAAAAATGAAGTGTGAGGTCCTGTCAGAGGTGAGAGCGCCTCTGGGCTGGGTCTTCATAATATTTACTCTCGCGCCACCTTTTGGCGGGTTTAGTGAAGGTCGATCATCCTAAACGTAATTTTAAACCAAACGTGCCCCCACAAAGGCGGCTTTGAAAACAGCTACATATAAATATGTGACGGTAGAAAAATATCTTTCAAGCTTTAGTTTAAAGAGATTCCAAGGGAAATGACTAATCAGATAAAAAACATAAATATGTTAGAAACCACTCAGTGTGAGCTTTATTTTATATCTGGCCTAAAATTAACAGCATTGGTAATTACCAAAATAGTTTTGTTTTTTTTATGTTAGTGGATAGTTAATCCAATAGTATGCCCTTTAATCAAAACGATATGTTTAATGTTAAAATAACTATTGCTGTTGTAGTCCATGAAATTTCAAAGTTTGAAATTTCAAAAAGCAGAAAAATAGCAGAACACTTTGGGGGTTTTATTTATTGTTAAGATCGCAAAATACAGGTATTTACTTTCATTGATGAATAGAAAAAAATGTTCCAGTTTTTGAATGTTTATTTAATTTCTGACTTCAGAGGTAAGACCAGCTTGTCCAAATTTAATTATAAAATACAATTATAATACAACAAAAACTTTATGTTGAGCGGATTTTTAAAAAAAATTATTATTATTATTATTGGTATTATTATTATTATTATTTCAATGTTCCTTGGCATTAAATAATCAAATACAGTTGGAAAGCCTGTTTATTTCCACTGCATTTGTGGGTTGAGCAGCAGAGTTGAGTAGCTGGGTTGTGCCCCTGAAAACCTTGCCATAGGCCAACTTCTGGGGGGGGGGGACCATCTCCAGATTAAAGAACAAGTTCCAAGGAGGGATGACAGAAACAGGCCCTCAAGTGGGCATCCCAAGAAAATGACATGACAAAAAGACTGTTCCCTCAATCTGTGAGCACTTAGGAACCGCAGGAAGTCTTCTACAGGTCAAGGCTCATAACAACTTTTGATGGAGGCAGTGTGATGGTGTAGGGCGTCATCTCCCTCACTTGAAAAACTAAGCTTGTCATCACAGGAGGCAATCTCAATGCAGAGATATTGAGATTAGATTCTGCAACCAGAGGCAATCATTTGGCCCAATATTGCAGAGATATGGTCTCTGCAGTATTGGGCCAAATGCTATCCTCCAGGATGACAACACTTGTCCCCACAGAGCGGGGTTTACCAGAGGCTGCCTCCAGAGTTGGGGAGTGAAGAAGATGGAATGACCTGCCTACAGTCCTGACCTCAACCCTACTGAACATTCGTGGGAGCAGTTTGGGTGTGCTGTTTATTCCAGAGTGACCAAGCACATTGGCTGACTTGTGACAAATGCTAGTTGAAGAATGGGATGCCACACCACAGCAGTGTGACCAAGCTGGTGACCAACATGAGGAGGAAGTGGCTGACTGTTGTAAATGTGTATGACAATTGACAGAGGTGATAACACCATTTAAGGGGGGGGGGTAAACAGGCTTTCCAGGAGTATAAGATTTATTGTCAAGAAGCATTGTTACAACAATGCCTCACTTTTTGTGCTACGTTTCTATCTAAACACAGAGAGAGAGGGAGAGAGAGAGAGAGACCAGGAAATAACCGCTAAGTAGATTTGATGACGAGTTTTTGTTGTGAGGAGAACTCTCCGCAGTGTGGCGGCACAGAGTCGACACAACCAGCAGCAACACAAACGAAGAAGACTGCACAGGAAGTGGGGATAGCAGGATTGTTGACATAGCCTGCTAGCTTTTGCTAGGTGGCATGATATTTTGTCGATATTTTTCTAAAGTTTTCGTTCACAATGAGCTCTCCAGAGGACAGGCATGGAACAAAACGATCGGCGTCTCCCAGTCAAGTGAGTAAAACGCTTAAAAACGAAACTAGCCCTGGGCGAGAGCTACGAACCACCAGGGAACGGCTAGCGTCGCTGTAGCAGGTTTGCTAACGCTGGGATTCAAAGCGTGATTGTTAGAATAGGAAAGTTTATTGAACTCATTCCCCTTTTTAGGATGACTCAAAACTATATTACATGAACTACGATATAATATTTACTATGTTTTCTCTTTGTTTTGGCCCGAATGTAAGCAGATAATATTTACTTATGTATTTTATTTAGATATTAAAGTCACTGTGGTGTCATTGTTGGGTAATTATCATTTTGTGTATATAAAAAAAAAGAAGTTATGACACATTTATTGCTGTCGATGGAGATACGTGTAAGTCACCACTATTTGAACCTGATTTTAATTACTATTATTGATAAATAACACATGCATTGTTTGTTTCATATTGCACTGTTTTACAGAATAAATCCCGTACAAAAAAATAAATTTTTAAAAATGAAACATGCAAAAGACGAGACGATAATAGAATATAAAATTAAAAGAATGAAAAACATTAGAATTTCCCCTTTCACTGGTACAAAGCGTGTTACAGAAATGTCTGAGTGAACAGAGATGAGTTTAGGTTCACAGAAACCTCAGTGGTGCAGCAAGAGCATATTATAAAAAAAGCTGCAAAATCCCAAAATAATGACGCTGTAGTGATATAATATAAGGCCATGTTTATTGTCTGTGAGTAACAACCTTCAGCCATCAAATGCTTTGCATCTTTTCTTGAAAAGTGGCTTAAATTGCAACAAACAGGAAAATGCTTCAGGCGTCATGCTAATAAACTAAACTAATGAAAACAGGACTGAAAGCAGGATTGCAGATAATGCACAACTTAATTCATAATTAATGAACAACAAAAAAAACAGGTGAGTTGAGGTGTGGTCAGAAAAAGGGACGTCTAGCCCTGCTGATCAGAAACATTTATAACTGTTTCAAAATAATCTTTCTTTTTTTTTTAAAGGTAATGATATCAGAATCATGTTTTTGATTCAATCTGGCTCTTGATGCTCTTGTTTGAACATCCACATGATGAGAATGTTTGCCTTTGCAGGATGGGGGTACACAGTGGGCCTCTGCTGATTTGGGAAGCGATGAGAGAAAACAAAAGTTTTTACGGCTGATGGGCGCGGGCAAGGTTTGTTTGTGTTTTGATTCATTTTATTGGAGACTCACAGACCAAAGCAAAATAAAAATAGGCCCTGTTACTTCATGCTTCACTGCCTGAAGTTGTGACAGTTAAGGTAAAGTGGGACTGTTGCTGTTTTACAGAAAGAACACACTGGGCGTCTTGTCATTGGTGACCACAAGTCAACATCTCACTTCCGCAGCGGTAAGCTTGTTATTTAGTTTTTGGAAAATGTGGTATTAGCTCTGCTTTCGCAAACTGTCATCCTGCACCTCTCACACATGCTGTGTCATCCTTACGCCCAAAACAATTAAATCGGCTTTGCTACCACACATCCGCCGCACAGGTCTATCCATTCTTGGATAGAGCTGTACTGGCTGGTTGTGCCTGCTGTGACTGGTGTCTCCTCTGCAGGTCAGGAAGATCAGAAGATCAATGAGCAGCTGGAGCTGCAGTACCAGCAGGGAATGGATGGGAAGTTGTCAGGACGCAACCGGAGACATTGTGGTCTGGGTTTCAGTGAGGTGAGGGGTCATACATGCTAGACTATATAGAAAAAAGGCAGAAAACAAAGGTGTAGTAGATCCAGAAACACTTACTTTTAATTATAACTGGATGTTATGCTAAATCCTTTAATTTATTATGTGCGCATCCTGTAAAATCTACATATCTTTTTTTCACTGTCTAAGCATAAAAACGTATTGAAACCAACCTTAGAGCCACAGAGGGATGCAGTTAGTATGTTGCTGTTATTACTTCAGTGCCAATACCCAATGAGTCCCAGCCCTAATTTGCACTCGAAGGAGATGCTCAGTGTTATTCACGTCAGTAGTCAGTGGTTATTATGATGTGGATGACTGGTGTAGTAAGCTGTGTTAAGATACAATACAGCTGCATATCAGAAGCATCTTGTTTCAGTTTTCTAACTGGTTAGTTTGCTATTCTTCTGGATCTCAGATGACAAAACAGGCAATGCTTTGGATGACTCAAATCATTTTTAAGTGACATGAAATTAAATTATTTCATGTCACTTAAAAATGACATATCTGCATTGCTGATAATAATTTGTGACAAAACAATTTGGCAGAAATATCTGCCAAATTGCAGGCACATCTGTTTACACTCTGGACTTTTGGGATATTCTGTTACCAGGCAACCTGCTTCCATGTGAACAGAAGTAATATCCAGTGTTGGGAAGGTTACTTTTAAAATATATTCCATTACAGAATATATGCCCCAAAATGTATTCTGTAACGTATTCAGTTATGTTACTCAATGAGAATAACGTATTCTGAATACTTTGGATTACTTAATATATTATCATGCTGTTTATAACTACATGAATGTACTATTGCTGTGATTTATTACTGTTACTGAAGCTCCGCGGCTCCGTACCGTAGTAAAGGGACCTCTGACTAATACCGTGGGTTCCGTGTCGGGCTCGTAGCCGAAAAATAGCTTTACTTTGTTGTGTGGGTCAACTTTGCTTGCGAGAGACAGAGAGAGGAGGAAAACACGAACACAGCGTACAGTCGAGTCTTAATAGCTTACTTACAGCTGGGCTCGTCAGGCACTCTTCTTGGCTGCAGTGGTTATTATTATATTTACATGCTTCCAGCTCCCGTTTTTGCTCGATGAAAGCTCGTACTTTTCCTTTTTCTCCCTCCCTCGCTTACAGACACATAACGTGTATGGCAGTCCATTCTCCCTGCAGCACGGACTACACTGCCCATGATGCTACATTCTTTAGAGCTATATCTGTAGCATTCTGCCTGTTAGCTTAGCACAACAACAACAAAAAGGCCTCTCTCACCCAGGAACGCAGAGAGAGAGTCACCCTGTAACCATGGCAACCGTAACGCTGCCGCCTGGAACAACAGAACACAGCTGTCAAACAAAACCCAAACAGTCCTGACCCGCCACAATATGAAACAGGGAAGTACCGTCCTGTAATCAGTTTATTTCATCAAAGTAACTGTATTCTACATACCACCCTTTTAAACGGTAACTGTAACGGAATACAGTTACTCATATTTTGTACTTTAAATACGTAACGGCGGTACATGTATTCCGTTACTCCCCAACACTGGTAATATCATACTAATACTAATTATAAGTAAATCATATTTTGGCTCTCTTATCCTCAGTCTGAAACCCAGCCAGAGTTGATCCCTTCACCACCAGTGGATGGACAGACAAAAGAAGCTGAGTCAGAGAAGTCCACCAGTGAGGAAGAGTCCACAGAAACTCAGGACAAAGGCAGCGATCCTGAGCCGGAAGAAAAAACTTCAGAGGAGTCTGAAACCAGCCCGGACAGTAGGAACGAGGAACTGAAACACGACTACAAAGCAGCTTTTGTGAAATCCTCGTAATGCTGATGAGACCGGCAGGGAGGAATTAGTTTTTGTAATATTATGTTTGTAAGTTTTGGTGTTAAATGTTGAACGGTAGGCCGTCATCCATCATAGAGCCAATCGTTAGACTACACTCTGGTGTGCATGTCGTCAAAGAATGAAGTCTGCAGGCTGAGTGGCAGTACCACATGATCAAGTTTTTATTTCGTTTGGACATTTTAACAGTCACTGCATTTGCCATGAATTGTGCTGAATGAAACAGGATTCCCTGGCATTAGTTTTGATTGGTATACAAATGGAGAATTTTGTGTTTTCTTGAAAACCAATAAAAATCATTTTCAGTTAAAACCGTGGTGGAATATGAGATTTATAGGACTGAAAAATACATTTTGAACATTCTGTTCAAAACTGCAGCCAAGTCAATTTTACACTCATTTTAAGTGTCTCAATGTAAAACCAAAATATTGTCTCTCTTCAGCACGTTTTTTTTTTCTATCCACAGTTTTGGGCATCAGTATTAAAGCTTGAGCAGCAAAACTGCACCACATTTGTTTTCCAATAATTCATTTGAGAAAACTTTAAAATTTCCATTTTGGGTAAAGATTTAAATTTTCATTGTTTTCAGATTTGGTTGATCTATTATGGAATAATGAAAAGTCACAATGTGACTAAAAAGTGAAGAAATCTGGTGTCAGAGTGGATCGCAAAGAAGTCCGTAAAATCAGTGAAGAGAATGGTGTAGAAAATACTGGTTGGGATTTTCAGGCCCACATGCAGGCCTGTGTCCTAATGCAGAGTTATTACGATAACGTTTTGTGCTGGATGCAGTAGAGCATCTCCGGAGGTACACGTCAAACCCTCCCTTGAAGCAGATGGGCTACAGCAGCAGCAGACCACACTGTGTGGCACTCCTGTCAGCTAAGAACAGGAAACGCAGGCTACATTCTAGCACGGGCTCACCAAAGTTGGACGACAGAAGGAGGATTTCTGGATGAATCTTGCTTTCTGTTGCGCGATCTGGATGGTATAGTCAGAATTCGGCACACACTGCATGGATGTATGGATCCATCTTGCCTTGTGTCAGTGGTTCAGGGTGATGGTGTTGGAAATATTGACTTGGCACTCCGGGGCTCCTTGGCACCAACTGAGCATCTTTAAAACAGCACAGGCTGCCTGAGTATCCTTGCTAATCACATTCTTCATAAAGGGACCAGTGTACCCATCTTGTGATGGTTTCTTCCAAATGAAATAGAGAAACATGTCAGTTGATATAGATACCTTCTCAGTGTTCTGTATGAATAAATCTTCATGGTTTCTGTGATTTTCAGGCACAGTCCTATAACTGTAAATCCCCTTTAACGAAACCTTAACCGGGGTGTTTCTTCAATTCATGCCATGGTAATTATTCAGTTATAGATAATAACCAATTGGATGGTGGAAAATGTTAGTCCCAAGGGAAATACACTGGTGATACAGGAGATTCTTGCAGTTTTGCCACCAAGAGGTCAAAATTTCCACTCATTGATGACTCATAACTGGAAATTTATCTAGAATGTACTGTGCCTCTCACCCAATCTCAGCTAAAGTAGGCTCCAAACAGCAAAGACTATTAGGTTAAAGCTGGTCTCTATTTCTAACAAAGTGTATACCAAGCTGTACATCACACATGCAGTTGGTGAAACGGTTAACAGTGAACACGAGGACGGACATTTTGAGGCTGCATCAAGGAGAGTGATGACATAAGATGAACAAATGTGATGGTGATAACATATTTACTTGCAGGCATTGCAAAAACTCTCTGTGTAAAAGTTTGCTCTTGCATGGGCGGAGGGGCGGGTTAACCAGGATATCCAACTCCTTATAGCTTCCTCAAAACAAACAAGAATTTGAGATTTTGGCAAATAAACTTGTGCTGATATTTGATGGCCTGGATGAGTGGGGGCTGTCTGGTCTTGTATTTCAGAGCAAGTTTTGGTGGATGTTCTTCTGACAAATCTGTTGGAGGGGAACCTGTTGCTCTGTGCACATCTGGATTACCACCAGTCCCACAACTGCAAATTGCATTCTAGGTGACTGTGTTGTTTGAGGTACCAGGATTTAAGGATCCACAGAGGGAAGACTACTTCAGGAAAAAAATAAATACATTTCAGATTAAAAGATTACCAGTAGAGTCATTTTGCATATTCAGTCAACCACAAACAAATGTGTCTTGTTGCTTCAGACTTTAGTCATCCAATCTAATAAACACCAAAAGAGTCAATAGCAGAATAATTGGTTTGGCTGAGAAGATTTGGGACATTTTTCATGGGTGCAACCCCCCTTACTTTTGTGCTAAGTTTATTTACATATATAAAAAATATTAGCCACCGGTAGCATTTCTTGATGTCACCCACTTCCTCTGTCTGTCGATGGTACATTACATGCAGGGATAGGCTTCCACAAGAGTTCCTCCTCTTGTTCCTTATCACCATCTGTCTGCAGCTCATCTTTCTGATGTACTCGTAGATGCTCCGTTTCATCTTGTATTGTGACTCTGACACTCCCCACATATTCCCTCCTTCTGTTGCTCTTAGAGCCTCAGGGTGCTGGAGTTCTGTGCATTGTCGGGAGTTTTCATATCTTGGCATCAGTGGCATCCATCTCGTCATGTGCCCAGCTTATTATTCCAGCTAGTATCTGATGACTGGTAGAGCTGCACAGATGGTTTGGATCTTGTTCCTGCCATTGAGCTGGATTCCCAGCAACTGACTTACCTTCTGGAGATATGTGGCTGTGGCTGACCTACATGCATCTTCATTAGAATTCCTGTTGGCCTGTGGGACACTCAGGTACTTGTAGCTGTCCTGTATATCTGGTATACTCCCTTCTAGCATGCATTCATTCCGCATTATCTTCCCTCCCTTTGCAACAATTTGTCTACACTTATTCAGTCCAAATTCGATTCTGATGTCCTCACTGTAGAAGCTGGTGATATAGATCAGTGCGTTTATGTCTCCCTGGAATGCAGCTTGATGTCATCCATGTACAGAAAGTGTCTGATGGTCCTTCCACTTCTGAATCTATATCCATATCCACTTTTAGTGACGAGCTAGCTTCAGGGGTTGAGGCCTGTGCAGAACAGTAGAGACAGTGCATCACCTTGGTGTATTCTGCACTTCATAGTAACTTCTGTGATTGCCTTGGAGTTGGTCTCTCACAGTCCCAGCAATTTCCTGATGAATGTTATCGGCATACTATTAGCCTTTTACAGTGCCAAGCACTCCAGGATCCATCTGTGGGGTAGTGAGTCGTAAGCTTTCTTTTAGTCAATCCAGGCAGTGCTCAGGTTGGCTCGTCTGGTCTTAGAGTCCTGGTCTACTGCACTATTCACCAAGCAATTCAATTTTATTTATATAATGTAAAATCAGAACTACACGCCAAAGCCTTAAGTTTGTAAGGTAAAGACGCTACAGTAATACAGAGAAAACCACAACAATCATATGACACCCTGTGAGCAAGCATTTGGCAACAGTGGGAAGGAAAAACTCCCTATTAACAGGAAGAAACCTCCAGCAGAACCGGGCTCAGCGAGGGGCGCCCATCTGCCACGAAGGCTTAATATTGTTGGAAAATAAATTAGATTATGTTTATATGTATTCTCTAATATGCTTTATTCAACTTAAGTTGATGAATATATATCCAGAAAATAATATTTTTTAAAAATGAAAAAAAAAGACAAGTAAACATTTTCAATCTTAATATTTATTTTTGTAATAACTTCTTTTAATGTGTTAAACTGTATTATTTTTTAATGCTTTTGTGATGACTGACGGGTTCTGGATCATCAAGTGACAGTGCTGGGAAAGTATACGAAGCCCATGAAGCTAAACACTGCAATAAATAATGGTCAAAGTGATCTCGCTGCAATTTAAAACTGAAATCCAGCTGAAATGAAATCCAGCTAAAACTTTCATGTCAACAGTACAGGTAAGTAAATGTAGAGTTTAAAAAAGCAACTAACTTGTGTTAAAAATAATTACTTAAATGTGCAGTGTAATTGCAGAAGCAAGAAAACCTGATACCACTTCAGAAATATGAATGAAAAACTCTTGAAAAAATGTGTTTAGTCCTCAATCATTAAAAAAAGGCATTTGTTATATGTAAATCAGTCCACTTCCAATGATTAGATCCTTCCAGTTCAAGCTCCTTTCACAAAGGCTCCGTTTTGTTGCACCGGTCGTTCCTGTGGATCAGTGGTCTGCAGTAGCTCTTGCTGGAGGAAAGAAAAAGAAAAGTTGTTTCATCAGTAGATTTTACTGCACTCATATTTTATTACCAAAACACACACATACACATATATATAAAAACACTGACAGATTTTAACAGTGATAAATCCACAAAACTGTTCAGGAACATTTCAAAGATTACACAAAACAAACAAAGGCGCTGATCCAACATCAACGCTTCCTAAATCCCAATCTGAGTGTCAGTGGGAGGCACCTGAATATGCTCAATCCACAGAGGACCCACCCAGCAACCCTCACGACTCAAAGTCTCCAATGTCCCAGTGCAATAGGCCACAGGACCACCCTGAGGTCTACACAGCAGATTATTCTGTGCAGAATACAAACATATTTCCAGCAAACAAGATGTAGGATTATTTTCCCCTCAAAAAATATGTCCCTTGTAAACAGTTTATGCATACGTGGAGGAGCCCTGAATCAGGTGCCTATCGACATTACTTTGAACATAAAACCAAACAAAAGACATCATTTGATTGAACTGTTTGATGCAGGTCAAACAGTTCAATCAACTGCTTTTAAAGATCAACAGCCCACCTGTACCAAAACACCACTGGAATCAGAAAGGCCACAATGGTTTCACCAAAGCAGCATCTCCACTTCATTCGAAATGATTCCCGATGGGGAATATCTGGCAGGTTTCACAAAGTCGGATTTTGACTAGAGATGAGCTCCAACTGATCAACGAATTGGTCTTCTGGAACAATTTCCCTTGAATTTCTAATGAACTGCTTGCTTCCCTTCACTCCAGCAGAGTTCAAAGTTAAAAGGAGGATTCAGCCAAGAAATTTACAATAAATTATGAATAACTTATAAATTATGAGCCATGTTTTGTCAGCAGCTGTCACTGAGCTCTCACTGTGTTAAAGGGAAATCCAAGCTTTGAGTTCATTGGGCTACAGTGGCTTTTTTTAGGCTCAAAATGGGTCATTTTATTTTGGTTAGCAGACACATTTTATTATAGAAGTCAAATATATCAATGTGAAACCTGCTCCCTGGGGCTCTTTGGATAGAATATCACCCAGAAATAAAGAAACCAGGACTGTCCACAGATGTTCTAGGGAAAAAGTATTAAATGGAGAGATAACGATTTTTAAAAAACCCAAGAACTTTTGTCACCAATCTGTGCACATTCCTTACCCTGACAAAACAACATATACTTAGACATACACACAACAGACACAATAAATTCACACAACATGAACTGGAGGTCAGGGCAGGTGTACCTGGACCAGATATGCTCACCAGCTCTCCAGTCTTTCAGTCCCTACACACCAGGGACAATGAAAAAAATCACACTTTGCCAGACTGAGATGTCGATCTAAGATTTTTCCTGCTAAAAGTCTACCACTACCACTAAACCATGAGTAAAACAAGAATTGATTGTAACCATAGGCAACTACAGTGGCAGCCACAAACGAAAACAGATGAGAGACTCGAGAAAAAGGATTTTGTTTTGTACTTTCTGTGAGAATTGTTATCAGGTTCACATTTGATAACTGAGGTTTATTGGATAGTTCGGCAAAGCAAGGACCTTCTGGTTGGCCTTTACTTTGCAGTGGTCTCATTTTAGGCATGACTTGCGCTTCTAGTAAAAGTTAAGGTATTTAAAATGTGTTCATGAAGGCTCAGAAGTGCAGTCGAGAAAAACTTTGCTGTGGATGTTTGTCTAACTAACCTGCAACAAGCTTGCTCTTGCGCGAGGCCTCTGAAGCCAGCATCTGGGACACATTCATGATCCTTTCCTGCTGCTGCAGAGCTGAATCCAGCTCAGTGAAGTCCAGCGGTGCAGATGGCTGTATGTTCTGGACACTGCATAAAAGGACACAAATGAGACTGACTATATAGTGTTGATTTGAACAGCACACTTGAACTAAGAAGCTTTATGGACCTATCGACCATGAAAACAGTTATGGAAATTATTCAGAAAGCACACAGGAGATGTTTGGTACATTTACAGTACTTAATTTCCCTTTTGAATACGTATAATGATTGTGGGATTATTAATAACAAGCACTCAGAGAGCACAAACCTTATTATTTTTTATTGGATTCATTCTCTTTCCTTTGACAGTACTTTCTTAAAAGATGTTACGCATTTTGGGGTCCAGTTAAAAGAAAGGCAGACATGAAATGTAAAAGTGAGGTTAGAGGTCAAATGTGATATGATATTTGGATGCAAACTCTAATGTGATATTTAGAGTCCCCATAAACCAGTATCATTTCCTACATGTTGCAAACACAAACAAAGGCAGCAGAATTTTAATCATAGTTTTTAAGATAAAAGACATTTTATGAAAGTTTGACCTTATTTGACCTTGAAGGAGAGGTGAGATATAAAATATGATGTATTTAAAATCTTTATACAGTACTTTCTATGTGTTGATAATACACAGCACAGAATCATAGTTTCTAAGTTAAAAAGCTTTTTGTCAACCAATAAAACATTAAGTTGACTTTGAAGACCTAAGGATAATTTCAGTGGATTGTTGACCCCACTCTGCTCCCCTAACTACACTGAACCTTTCCTTCTACCATATTTACAGACAGAATGACACGCACACACACAAACAAGTGTTAATGTATCTGATGTATTACCACTAAGGCCTTACCTCCCACCTGGTATATATCCAAGTGCAAAAAAAACGACATCTTTACCCCTAAATTCCTTCAACTGGTATAACTTCGGTATGAGCACCATCTACCTGGATTTGGCCAGCAGGGTCTTGATTCGCTCAGCCCGACGGGCACGTTCCTCCAGCTCCTCTGGACTAAGAGGCTCATCGGTGTCAGACTCAATGTAGCGCTCGGGGATGAGAACTTTTTCTGGTTTGGACAGCTGCATGTTGGGCAAACAGTTAGTCACACACATTGGTCTGTGGTTTGAAAGGTAGAGATTTTTATTTCAAATGAATTTTTCTTTTCATTAAACACCAAATCACAGCAAAAATCATGTCAGGGAACTTTCAGGACCAAGCCTCAAACTCTTTGACAGGAAGAAACCTCTGTATTAGTGATGCTGCGACTTTCTCACTGAGCTGCTTCTAACTGAAGTCACATGTGTGTGTACCTCTCGGCTGATATCCAGGTCATAGTCGAGAGGTTCCACATCCACCTCTCTTATGCGTGTAGCTGTTACTGTCACCCACTCATCTGACTGGATCCTGCCCCTCTCTTTGACTGGATTCCACCCTTCATCGCTTTGACCTTCTGCCACAGGTCGCTCCTCCTGCCAGTCAAACACCTGCAAGGGGGACGAGTCAGAATTAAAAGCTTACCACACTGTGGAGGGGGGAAAAACCCTATTCTTATCATTAATAGAATCTTGAATCATTTAGTTAAGTTAAGGAACAGTCTTGCGTGTTAAATATTAACACCATTATTATCAGAATGACAGATTAGCCAAATCTGATGTACACAGTGTTTATAAATAATGATTCCAGGTCAGATTTCCTGCAGTAACTGCAAGATTAAAGTTAAAGCATCAGCTGTTGTACATATTAGAAGTTATTTTAGGCTGTAATGGTTTTTTTTCAGAGATGAAGGCATTAGTAAAAAAGTAACTTGACAGATTAAAATTTTTAAAATTACAAAAATGTATAAATTAATTAATAATAAATTTAAATATCTGGGTCACTGAAACATGTTTTTAAGCAACACTGCTAAAAGTAGTGGTTCCACAAAAAAATAAAAATAAAAATGTTGTGCAGGATAAGACTGACTACACAAAGAAACTCTACTCTACTGTGTAATGTTACTGCATTAAGCTGTGGTTCAGACAGAGAGAGGCAAACATAATCACATCACTCGTGTAACCAGGAGTAATTACAGCAAGTTCACCCAAGAATTTGAAAAGACTGTTCTTAGCATTGTAACCACAAGCAACTACAAGACAGCCAAATGATTCGTATGTTTCTGGATCTGCCCTTTCTTCTTTGTGTGTGTGTGTGTGTGTGTGTGTGTGTGTGTGTGTGTGTGTGTGTGTGTGTGTGTGTGTGTGTGTGTGTGTGTGGTGAGAGGTACTTGAGAGTAATCATCCAAGGAGCATCAAAGCCATGCATGCATCCTTCCCACTCCAGTAGCCTGCAGCAGGGTCTGAGCTGCTGGTGCTTTCACATGCTCTGAGAAACACTGCATCCCATGCCTTGCTGTGCTCAGGAGAATCAATCGCACACAGAAGGACAGAGATAAAAAGAGAAGACCATGCAGGCACAGATTCCTCAAATCCCCACCGGATTAGGAAGAACACAGCGAAGAACAGATTCAGAAGCAAGAAACTCTTTATTGTCAAGTGCAAATCTCTACATGATAGAAAAGAAAAGGGGAAAGAGTTGTGCATTGCTTCTCGATTACACAGAATTAGGTGGCGATTAGCAATTCACTTCTTTAAGTTCTTTACTATATTTCTACTCTCCAACTGAGCATCCTCGTGTTACTACTCCACACTTTGATCTGATAGGCTTTATGTGGGTGTGAAAAGATAAAGACAATATGGCAGAAGAGCTTTTGGGGTGAATATCTGACTGAAAACAAGGAGTGGACAGCTGTGCCATTTGAAGGAACATAACTAGAACAACAGTAACAGGGGTTATTTGTTTCAAACGTTAGCAGGAAATGTGTCAACAATACACGGAGTAAAAATAAGTAAAAAATCTCTTTAATGCATCTTTGTAAATCTGATAAAGACAAATTTCTTTTTTTCCCTCTCTTAAGGACATTAATGCCTCAGATCACTAAAAGTTGTTTAATTTTCCCACAGATCTCCTGTGACAAAGTTGTCCACTTTTTGTTCACACACACATATTTTTTTATTGCATTTCAGCCCAGTTGCTTTATCCAGTCATGTATTATTATGCTCTATAAAAAAACAAAACAGGCCATCTTTCTTTTCCAACATTAAAAATGTCAGTGTAATTATGAAACACAGTCAAAAGCTAAAAAGTAATTATGTAGTTAAAAAAATGATGTATAAATAAACATGTCTAATGCTGGTGAAGTACATAAAAATAAAATATACTCTGGCATTATCATTATTGTTATCGATATCATTATTATCATCATCATGTGCACTGAAAAGGGTGAAAATGATTAGCAGAAGGTGACAAGCTATGTATTGCTTACTGTTATAGGAAAATTTGATTTCAAGGGTTTATGGGAAATGTAGTTGATTTACAGGCAGCTCTCACAGCTGTGTGGTTAAACATTTGGTTAGTCTGCTATCATAACACCAGTACGGCAGTTATCGTGTGTCACAGGAAGACTTTGACATTTTAAGCTTCAATATTTTTTTCCCATCCAAGCACATTAGCATCTACGGTATTCTTCACTGAGACCAAGGGGCACAGCTAGCTGTAAGCTAGATTTACTCTAAGTGTCAAATGTCAAAGTTTTCCTTTAGGGATAAAAACCAGCACTGTCCCCACAACTTCCTGACTAAACTCTGCTATTGCACATAATCTATGATTCTGAAGTGGGGACGCATGCTGTAAACACACCATGATTAGCTAAAATGCTGACTAAGGAGGTACATTTAGGACAAAGGCAAAAAAGATCGTCAACATAACAAGGCACTTGGATTTTGAGTGAAGAAAAGAAAGCAGGGAGGCGGGATCATGATTTTTTTTGTAACATTGCATCTGTCTTCATTTCATCAACTTGAAAATGTATATTTTCTTTTTCTGACATTTTCCCTCACTCTTTTATATGCTCTAAATACCAAATCTCTACAAAATATAACTGTACAGCTGTATACTGAAAATATCACTCAGTAAATAAATAAAAGTGTACAAGTACACAGTATGTAGATGTACATAAATGGATTCTTTTCTCTACTTTGTGGTGACTAAAACTGAGACAGGAAGGCAGATTGATGCCTTCAGCTCACTCCTCTTCTCAATGGATTTACATTCAGAACTGTGTCAGTGAGGTCCCACCAGGGAGCAGTGGAAATAAAGTTCACTTTCACCTGAACCTTTAAATAATAAAATAAAATAGACAGGGCATCTTTTTTTCTGGTCTGAAACTAGCCAAGCATTACCCACAATCCCCTGTGCTCCTTTTCTCTCCAACTCTTCTTATAGTATTATCCACGCTAGCTAGCCAGCTGTAGTCAGTCCCGCCCTTTAGCTTGTTAGTGCTTTTGGCTACCATCAGTGGCTAGTGGTTACACAAGGCAGGCAGTGCTAGTGTGTTAGCATTTCCACTAGTATATTATGTGGCTGGGGGTGGGAGCGTGGCATATCAGCTCTGGTGGTGGAGGTGGTGCTCCCTGTGCCTGCTGCTGCTGCGGTGGGGTTGGGAGTAACGTACGGAGGCTGGAGGGTCGGACGTGCTCGAGGGCAGCCTTGAGGAGGACGACGAGCGTTGGGCGGTGACGCTGGAGGCAGACAGGCCCGTGCTGGAACGCTCGCCCTGGCTGAGGTTCCTCTTGCGCTCCCGAACTAACGCTTTCTGGTGGCGCTTCATTCGTTCCAGCTGCTCCTCCGCAGTCATTCGGCCTCTGGCCTGGCTGCTCGAGGGCTGCAGGACTTCGGAAGTTGATGACAGACACTCCAAGGCACTCTTAGGTCTTTCCTAGTTAGTAAAGGCAGGAAAAAACAGAACAAGGAAAGCTTTGGTATGACATGGGGATGTTTGGTTAGTGCTATAAGAGAAGAAGTCTGAATTCCCACCCTTAAATCCCAGTTTCTATCTTCACTCAGACCACATATCCACTCTAACAGTTTCCATTTGGGAGAGGATACAGTCCACCCTAACCAATCATTAGAGATCAACTATCCACCTTACTATGAAGCCAATTAGATGTATAGCCATGCCAACATGCTGCTTTTTATTGAGATTGTAAGAGTGAAGTAGAGCAAAGTTAAACCTGTAGCCATGGCTGACAGCTGCTGAAAGAAAGCAAACACTGGCGCTTTAAAATATCCATCTTACAGCTTTACAGTGGTTTCTATCCCACCAGAATCATTGACTGACTAATCATTCGTCCTCACACGGTGCTAACTGGACCTAATCAAGAAAGCTTTTTTTCATCCACACTGCCAAATATATCAGTTAGACTGGACACATTCGAAGATCTGAGTCTGGACCAATAAGACAGATCAAAAGTGGCAGGAAACAAAATGGACACAAAACCAAACAGTAAAATAGCAGAAGTAGTAAATGCAAAAGAAAAATCAATTTGCCTGGATACAGATGCAAAAAATCTGTTTCTGCTGCTCACGCAGATGGTCCACAAACCGAGTGACAAAACTGGGAGAAAGTTGTAGTGAGAGACTTTTCAGTGGTGTCAGTTTGCAGACATATCATATTAAAAACAAAAACAAACACGTAATTGAACATAAGATTAAAACAGGACTCACAAAAAAAAAAAAAAACAGGCTATTAAAAACAGACAACCCTGAGTTTGTCCAGTTTATTGTCTTTACTCACCTTTGCTGCAGAGCTCCCAAGTCCTCTCCTTAGGGTGACGTAGGATGAGATGAGATGAGATGAGTTGGACTGGTTCTGTCGAGAGGAGGAGCCTGACAGACCAAGAAAATAACAAGAGCAGTAAATTAATTTAATGAAAACATTGAAATCTCTTATGGAGTATCTACTAGGAATATGGACTTGAATTAATATACAAATGTTGTGCTGTCTGAGGGGTCAGGTGTTATAAAAAGAATCAACATTAAAAGATGCCTTCATGTAATTGGCAAACGTAAAAACTGTTTACAAAATCAGATTCTTTATTTTTAAAAATGTTACATTTTAGATTTTAAAAATGTTAATTAAATTCCAGATAATCATCCACTGTCAAACATCAGCCTCCAAATGATGACAATTCTATAACTAAAGGAAGGCTTATTAGCGAGATAAGCAGCTTTGAGTAGTCAGAGTAGAAAAGCCCTGTGTAAGTACCAGTCCATGTACCATTTAATAAGAGCATGTTTCAAATTTTAACTGATGAATACTCAAGTCTAAAGAGACTTCATCTTAGTTTCTTATTAAAATAAGTATTTTCCACTACACACTTCCTCTTTGAATCTTTTTATGATTACACCTCCATCTTTTACATCTCCATCCCATCATAACACAACTCTATTCTGTATTTTTAAATATGTATGTAGCCAGGACTTTTCATGGTATTTAAAATATACTGTAACTAGACTACACAATGCTGATGGGAAATCACTGGCTGCTTTAAAATTGTGTAATCAAGTTCAGCAGGAAACCTTTTCCAGTCAGATACCATATATCATTTACACATTACTTTTCAGATACCTTTACTTGAGAAATACTGATAGTCAGTGTCAGACCCAATGTTGTGGTGGTTTACTCCTGGCAGCTCTGGTTCACTCAGGTATGAACGCAAGTCAGTCTGAAACCAGAAAAGATTAAACAGGAAGTTGGACTGGATAGACTTCTTTGGCTGCAGCGAACAATATAAAATGAGATATTTAACTGATCTAACCTGTAGAGAAAATACACACAGAATTAACACAACAACAGGGAGTAAATGGCGGCGTACCTTATAGTCTCCATTGACAACATATTGCCCACTTTCTCTGTCCCTCTTCCTCTCATCTGACTGGCGCTTCAGCCCACGCACCGATGTGTGGCGGATAACTGAGGCCTCTTTGGGGAGGGGCGGAACCACAGGAGGTATATCCTCATAGTCGTACTGGCGAGGCAGTGGTGGCCTGGGTGGGGCACTGTCCTCTGCCTGTGCAGCAACGAGGACAAGAAAGCACCGTTATTTTGCTGATAACATTTCATTTAGACTAAATCCAGCAACTTCGTGAAAGTTAACTTTCAGCTGACTCTGACGTTTTTACCAGCAGAGCTGTGGCACTCACCCACTTTGGCACAGTGCTGTGAGGCAAAGTATAAGAGTGGATGTTTGGGATGGAGCTGCGAGGAGGAGGCTGAATCTCTGCACTGGGAGAAGGCACTGCTGGTTCTGACACTGAAGGCACTAATTTCCTCTCTGGTGGGATGTGTGAATGCAGAGAAATCAGAATTTAGATTTTAAATATAAGACGTTTTACACTGAGGTTTACACCCAGGCACGGGAAGAATTTCTTATTCATTTACACTGAGAGAAGGAGTAAGAGAAATACAGTTTCAATCCAAGTTTGACTGGAAAGCAGAAGAACAGGGAGTGAAAGTCAGTGACATAGTCAGACTCACTGTAATAGTAATTACAGCACAATATGCACAGAATATAAAATACTAAATATCAGACCATGTGGCCATTTTTAGCTATACACCTACAAGGTGTGTTGAGATCAAGGCCTTTATTGGATCTTAATGACTCTCTTCCTATCTGGTTATCATTACCAGTCCCTGCACTGAGTGCTCTGGTTTTGGGCTCTCTACCTGGGTTCTGGACAGAGTCGATGGTAATCTTGTAGTTGGTTTTGCTGGCACTCAGTCCGGCCATCACATCTTCAATCCTCCACAGCTCGCGCTTCATCTCAGCTTTCTCTTGCTGTATAACAACATAAAGACAAAATCAGCAGAAGGAATCCGACTCAGTTCACCTCATATTTGATGTGGTTTCATTTTGGCCTCATCTTCATTTACAAAATCGGGCCTGTAACTGTAGTTAGGTCATTGTTGGGATGTTTTCCTTCTAATTTGCACTGGACTGGAAAATAAACAAATGAGATGAGCTGCTTCTTGTAGTTTTATAAATGTCTAAAACCAGTAAATGTTGAACCGGTGCCCCAGCACTTCAAAGAAAAATAAAAGGGTGTGGAGGTAAGGTATATTTCTGTTCTTGAAAGTTTTTTGCTCATACATATGACATGTGTACATATTAGAGATGGCACGGTACCACTTTTTTATGTCCGATACCGATATCATATATTTGGATATCAGCCGATACCGATATGAATCCGATATAGTGTGTTTTTTTTAATATCTTGCCGTATTTTGTATAAGTTCAAACTCAAGTTTAAAAATAAACAAAAAACACTAAAGCTATTCTGTTATACCTGTATGCAAAAAATACACTGCACCCAAAATATTTCATAGTTCAGCAACACTGATCTAATAAACTTAAACCTGCACCATCCTCCCTATTCTGGTATTTTAAAGAGTAATCAACCTAACTAATAGGGTTGCAAACCCCCAGCAAAAAAAGGAACCCCCCACCCCCCACCTCGTGATGCTTAATTGAAGTAATCAACTTTAATTTGATGCAGTGTGAAAAAAAATGCACAGAAATAAATTATTTTTCAAGAATAATTTAATAGATTCAACATCTTTCTTGCTGCTGTTGTTCAGCAGCTGGTTTCCTCTTTCTGGTGCGAAGTGGGCCAAAAACAAAGAAGAGAGACGGACTCGTGACAGAAAAGCCGATCAGCTGATCATTAATCAGTTTCATGATTGAAGTAGTAACAGGAGAGGGAGGGAGAGAGAAGAGGCAGTCGCTCCATATATCGGTTGTTAAGCTTAACACTGGAATGCTTTACAAACATTCAGAGATGAACTTACACACTTGCTTTACTTCTCTCTGGGATAACTTTCTTGGAGATGAAATGCCGGTTTGGTAGCGAGGCTACAAATACACACAGCCGCTCTATCACGTGATGCATACTGCTCCGACGTGCTACGGTTATGAGCCGAGTTACGCCGTGTTGCAAGTTTTGTGAGGAGCTTTTTTGATATTTAGTGGATCGGATTACATTTTTTATTTCTCTGTGATATCCAATCCAGTAATTTAGGTCAGTATTGGACCGATACCGATACGTAATATCGGATCGGTCCATCTCTAGTACATGCATATGCATCTCCTCAAGGGCTTTTCTTACTTGGCTACATCTAGTAAAGGGCTTATTTTTTTTATTACCAAGGAAAATGTTCTACTGTCTTCCACTTTAGCTCTCGATTTGATTTTGCAGGTCTTTTGGTGGTGTTGTGTTGTCTGTGCATTCCCTTCTAAGAATTTACCAACTCGTGATTTTTCAGGCAGATGCCCTCTTCTACTTGCATCAACAATTCTCTAGACCACAACTGACCTATTGATTAATACTAAAAAGAAAGACTATTAAACAGGCCACACCCGGCCATGAAACTGCTTGCTCTTCAGTTGTTCACTTATGTTTGAGCATATTATTAAACTGTTTTTACACAGAGGGACACACACTATGTAAAAATTGTTGCAATTCTAAAATTGCTGATGCAATGTTTCTATTTTATTCCGAGGGTGAGAGTCTGCACTCGAGCAATATAGTGATGACAAAATACAAAAAAAATAAATAAATAAAAATAAAAATAGTCTTCAAAAACAAAGAAGCGCCATATAAAATCCAGGCTATGAGTAAATGCCTGTTTTAACTGAAAATCCAGAACTAGATTGGCTCCGCTCTAACATGCAGTAACACGTTTTACCTGAGAGGTGGAGCTGTGGTTCATTTGTGCCTGCAGTGCTAGCCTCAACTGCTCTACTGAATTCTCAAGCCTGCTGTACTCCTCCCAGGCATGTGCCATCTCCTGCATTAAACAAACACACACATGCAGAAAGACTTAATACATAGTCCCACGGTAAACGGGTTCAGGTTCTCTTATTTGTGCCTGTAGGGAGGTTTGATCTGCAGTCATCCATCCCCACATGCCCATTTTAGCCTCCCCGCATAAAAAAAACAATACAAACCAAAAACCCATAAGTCAATAATGGAGCACATTATAACGCGATGAATAAATAAATAATTAATCTACACGGTATCATGTAAGATATAAAGGCCATGAGCTTTTTCCTGTTAAGTTGTATACACACTTTGTATACACACACAAAGTGTATTAGAAGCACACTGTTAAACATATGGCACATAATAACAAGCAGCTGCAAGCATTGAAACAAATGCATTTGTAGACTTATGTGTGGACTGTGAAATGAGTGTTTATACAATAACACTCAGTCATAGATACCGTGGAAACGCGGGATATTTGCGCCCTGATCGTCACCAGATCTTCCTGCAGCAGCCTCTGCTGGTAGGCAATTTTGTGGGCATGAGCTGGTTGTTCCTGGTACTGCTCCATCTGCTGATGGGACAAATCTAATACACTCTCCAGCTTGTCCTGAAGAGACAAGGTTGAGATCAGCATGAGATGAACAGAGAGCAACCGACCCCTGGCTTGTTTGTAGAATGCTGTTCTATAAATGGACACTTACTATTCAGCAGATGACTATTTTAAAATACCTCCAGGGGGCAGCATGTTTCCACAGAGCTGCGCTGCCATGAGATACCGACTGACTTTCATTAAAGTAGATCCTGAGCTGTATATGGTCAGACTTTAACTGCACGCCCTACATTATTTTGCAAATAACACTTTGTTGTATTCAGAATCTGATGAGGAATGTGTACTTTCATGTGGGGTTGTAACAGTAAATGCTGATGTAAATAAAGCGTCTGTCTCTACTTCAGTCGACTTTCCTAATTATGACAGTGAAGGTTACATTTAGCAGGAAACTTGTTTTGACTCTGATGTGTGCTGCCACATACTTTGACAGCTGCTTTAAGCTATTAAACTCAAATATATTTCAACTAATTACAGTATGGGGCACTTTATGTAGTATTTCCTAGAATTTTGTAACACCTTCCATTCAGACTGATAAGCCAGAATCAGGCTGACTCATCTGACTGACTACAGCGGGTAGAATGTCCTGGCATGGCTGGCTTAAAGTCTTTCTAACTATTACTGTGTACCTTGTCGTCCTTCAGGGAGCTGATCCTCGCCTCCAGATCCTTTAGTATGTTGTCCTGTTCACATAACCGACTCAACTTCACCTGCAGATGGAGACAAAGAGTCGAGTGGGCAGGGAAAGGAATGGAAGGGGGGTCCTTTGTACACTCACAGATAAAATGCCTCAAGTGCTCACCAAAGTGTGTGCGTGTATGTGCGTCTTGACCTCTGGTAATTAAGAGGCCCATTTGCTTAATTGACAACTTCCTCTTGTTTGTGTAGGTGCAGTGAATGAAAACGTCTCTGAGCGTAAGCATGTGTGAGCATTATAGTAACATGAGGGCACACATACTTGTGTATACGTCCATTTTAATGCATATGGGTTTAGCACACTTGAGATTTGCAGCCCTACAACTCCGCTGTCTCGTTTTGGTGTACTTAGAATTACTGTGAGTGAAGCAATTAAACAAAGTGAGTGCAACCCACCTGACATGTTTAATTACAGTGTCAGACTCTCAGAGCCTTGTTAATTAATCTCTGATTGAACTGAAAGCAAAGGTGGGATCACTTCATGCATATAAAAAGGTTCAAAGTGAAAATCTTAATGTGAACAAAGTACCTCTCTGTATATATTGTTTTTTCTTTTACACTCTACATTGGTTTTTATATTCCACTGAATAAATTATTAATCTACAAGTTGTCTCCATGGCGATGTTGTTGTTGGAGCTCCTCAAATATTCATTGCAGACAACATGCTCATAAATTTTAAATAAACTGTGTGTGAGAAGTAAATCGTGAGAAATACTTTCATAAGAGAAAACGAAGACGGTTTGAAAAGCTGCAGGGAATTATCAGACTGAAAGACTCAAAGCTTTTGACTATTAACATTCTCCGCAAGATTTTTTCTCCTGAAATCTAAGTGTCCACCCACACTTTTTTCACAGGATCCATGTTTTGTTTTGCCTAAATTGCCCTTACTTTTCTCCCAACTGAACCACAACAGTCAGAAGAAACTAGAATTAAGTGTTCCCTTGGCTGAAAGGCAGCGAATGAGTGTTTGAGTGTTTCATCTATTACATAAAAACATTAAACCTGTTTATGAATATTCTGAATATGCATCAAATAGAAAGGTCCTTGAATATATGTATATCTTTGTTCATTCAGGTAAATGCAGTTTGTAATAGAAACATATAACAAAAAAAAACCTACAGCATCCTGAAATGTCCAACCAACACGCTTTTCACCGATTGGTTAAAAAGTTCTCGAGACATCAAAGTAACAACTGAAAATTATCAAACACAACCTCATCACAGAGTCTAAAGTGTATTTTTGTTTATGTTTTTTTTCTAGTGCAGTCAACAAGCTCGTACTTACATCCACATCACTTTCTGCAACCTTGACAGGTTTTCCTGACTCCTTCAGTACCTGGAAATTCCAAAATTAATATTTTAAGATATTAGTGTTGTGGTAAAAAACAAACAAAGAAGTGTACGACTCCATGGTACATCTGTGCTGAAGTAAGGGAAATGCAAAACACAGAGACCGGCTACAAACTATTATGGGCTGCGACAGGCTATCTATGACACATTCCCTAAGCCTTGTGTACATAACAGTATGAGACTTCTGCCACACAAAATCAGCTCTTGCCATGAACAACACAATGGCTATGGAGACTTTGAAGCTCTGCACAAAATGACTTATCGGTTTCCACTTGCTGGTTTTTTTTTTCGTGAAAAAACAGATCTTTGAAGAATGCGCCGTGGAGCGAATTTCAGGTGCCCACTGTGAGGTTTACTGGTGTTACGCTCGCTAGCTTTACAAATCTCAGAATATAGCACATGTGCACCATGTTTAACACTAAAACTCACTGGTGACAGCTCTTTTTTATTCATGTTTAGACGTTTTTCCTGTTTTGCTCATTTTATTTTAGGAGTGTGTTCCCTTTTTTTAAATAAAACAAACAAATAAATAAACAAGACACAGTAGAGCCTTGCATCATTGTCAAGGAGGTGCAGCGTTTCAGAGACGATGGTAGAAGCAGCTGGCTTTTCAACCACCGGGCCACAGCCACAACACATGCACTGCCGAGCCATCCCATGCCCATTATTTAACAGCGCCATCAACATCGCCACATGGTGGGAGGGGGTTGTGTGAACATGGACAGAAGACATCATATTCAGTTCAAGCTGTAGATGCAGTGCTGTAGGCAATGGGATGGTCTTTCTAGAACACACACTCTCTAAACGTCTAAACATACACACACCCCATACACACAGACTATTGAGCTTGTGTCCCTCTGAACACTAAGCAAACATGCACGAGCAGGAATCACACCCACAAACACAGCCATACTACACACAGCTCTACATCTTTTAATATAGTGCACATACTGGACATACATGCGCGCATACACAGAGCTTACGTTCATTAGAGGCCTGAGAGGCCCAGCAGTGCAGTGCAGTAGTAAACTGTGAACTGCGAGGATCAGGGGCTCTAGAGCTCTGATCTGGGAGTCAAAAATCACAAAGACACAGAGCCGCAATCACAAAATGGCGGCTGCTTTTGTGAGATGCTTCTAAAACCACTCAAAGAGTTAGAAGATCACTGCAAGGATTTAGGGATGTTTGGTCCCACACAGATGCTTGAACATCTCCTTTTGTAGCTACAACATTTGTAGCTGTCTCCGCTCAACAGATCAACAAGGGTGAAGGAAGTGGCTGTCAGTAAGAATCACCACGCGTGTTAGATTACACTAGAGACATTTCAAATCAGAAAGGCGCAGCTGAAGGGAAAAAAACACTTAAAGTAAAGGAAAAGATTCATTAAAATAGCTAACGGGAATCAGGTGATCAACTTTGTCCATCATTATCTTTCTCACCTTTAGGTCCAGATACTCCAAGTCCTTCTTCAGCTGCATATAGGTGTCATCAGCCTAGAAGATGACAAATATGCAAGATTGGATTACTGATGTGTGCCAACAGGCACTAAACAATCCACTGAAACATCAATCTATAGAAGCAACAGAAACTATTAATTTTGCATCCCGGGAGATTTTGGTATCAAATATGATGTGTGTGACTTGCTTTTATACGTCTACGCACACATGCACCACAATACACTGAGACACACAGTAAAAATGTGTTCATTTATTTCATGATCAGAGAAGTTGCAATCATCACAGGACGAGCAGAAACCAGATCTCTTAGAAGAAGTAGAAGATCTTAAGATATTGTTGAATTCAGCTTTGAATTCAGCCCGTACGTGTCACTCAAAAGTAAAATAGAAGCAAGAAGTAGAAGAAGCAAACTTCCATACAGCCGAAAATAAGACTCACGCATCAGAGGACCAAGCTGAACAACACATCCACAGGTTGCCAGTTTGCTAAAGCATGGGATGGCTTTGTGGACGTCGAAAAGAGAGCAACACAACATGCCATGAACAGTATCAGTAGAAGCACGACATGGAAACTGACCAGCCAAGAACAGCACATGGACAAGAGGCAGATGGTTCTCGATGCTAAGCAAAGGAACTTTAAAGTAGAAGTTGCCACTAATATAAGGATACTTATTGAGTCTTTTGGTTGGGCTTCATTCATCATCTGAGTTTTCTTGATCACCATTTCAGATTTTATATGTTTTTACAGTTGGTAACTTTTCAATACAGTATAAAGACTGTTTAGATGTGAATGGAAGTAAGAGATATGAGTATCGGTGAACACTGAAAGCCTCAGTTCAATGAAAGTATTTTTAGGCAGTATAATACCCTTGAGAAGATGGCGTGTTTGAGACTATAACTTAAAGAAGTCCAGACGCTTTTCTTTGCAAGCTCCTTTGACTGTAACCACTTATCTTAATTAGGATTGTTTTCTACAGGGCAACACTGTGGTCTGATTCCTAGCACACACAAAAAAGCAGTTCTGGATTTGAATTTCAAACCCAGAACCTTTTTGTACCTGTGCAGGTTCTCTCTGGATACCTCAGCTTCCTCCCACAGACAAACTGACTGACCCTACCTTGCACAGTGGTATAAATAATGCGCATAAATATTGAGCCAGAAAATGCTAATAATGCATTACATTAGGAACAAATTAAAGAGTTATGTGTATAAAATAAGCTATAAAACTGAAATGGTATTCATGATTTAAGACTAATGCAGCCCTGCACAATTTTTAGTGGCAACCTCTATGAGTCCCTGGTAAAATGAGGGGCAGACAGGCAGGCGTGCCGCATTAGCCCCCACCTGGGTGTTGCAAGGGCCAAGTGATGCCGAGAGGCCCATGTGTCCAACATGGGACACGGGAGAGGGGCCGGCGCTGAGGAGGGGACTGGTGCTAGTGGTGGTAGCACTGAAGAGGTGGTTGTGTTGGAAAGGATCTTTGGGACCATTGAGCCGCTGGAGCTGGGCTAACGTTTGCTGACGTGCGGAAGCCATCTTGGCCTGATGGCGACGCAGCTGAATAAGGAGCAGAGTGAGCTCCTCGGGCTGTCACATGCATCACAAGAGATTCAATCTAGCAAATCTTAATACTAACCACAAAAGCTTCGCTCAGACTGCTCTTCTTTAAATACTATAGGTCACTTCACACAACTAATTGGCAAATTGTTTAGTCGACGGCTAATTTGCAGCTAAAATAAGGAGGATGAATGGTGCTGAAACAAAAGGCAGGAGGACAACAACATAGGCTACTGCCAACTGGTCAAGAACAACAACAAAAAAAGACTTATTAATGACTGGTTTATAGCAATCAAAATTCACTCATAGCAGAGAAATATTCCCCGAGTCACTGACTTATTGAGATGGAAAAGCTATGTATAAACAACAAGTTTATACAACCTTTAAAATTCACATTCACATTTCATATGTTTATTTGAGAAACTTACCGTTTTGCCATGAAGGCTGGGTGCACTGACTGTGTGAGTGATGTAGCCGGACGGAGGCATTGATCGTCTCTCAACAGTAGCAGCCTATAACACACAGACAACGCATTCATGTAGACTGTTTGAAGAAGTAAGATTAAAATTTCATATAAGACTTCATTCATATTAAATATTTATTACAGATTCAATGCAGTCTTACTCTAGATGCTATTTTCTAGAACAAGAGTGAATGCAGAATGCCACAAGTCTTGTTTTAGAAGATGCAATGTTTGATTGGATCTTAACATCGAAATGCTGTAATTTTTTTAAATCTCAGGGCAAAATGTGTGTGGATGTAATTATCCATCATTATTCACTCTATATTAAAAGTGGTGTATTCACACACAAATGGGCAGATGTTCACTTACATGCTTTGAATAAGTGAGAAAATGTGTTGTCAACAATGTATAATGTATACGTTTCAAGTCTGCTTTTGAGTGAGTGAGGATACAATGAGGCGCAGTGAACATGTGCCTACGATGTTCAGAATGACTAACACTTTTCTGAATACAAAACTAACTGATATTGCATTTAACAGGGGGGAAAATCAGACAATGGTGCAATCTTGGAAGTAAGAATTAGATGAAATACATTTATCAATATATGCAACAGAAGCTGTAACAGTAGTTTGTGTACTGTCATCCTAATCAAGAACATCTACACAAGCTATCATTACAGAACATAACCCTCGTACATCACAACATTGCTTTGGAATACTTCTCTTTTTTTCCCTTTTTCTTGTATTATTATGTGATTAAATCTTGTGCATCTGGGGATTTGGGTATCATAAGATGATTCAGAGAGTGTAAGCTAACTGCCTAAAATGTAATTATGACGCCAAAAAACGGTGCTTCTTCCCCGTTATGTAAAGTTTTAATCTCATTCCATTGATTAAGAACTGCCTGTAATTTTCACAGTGTGTGTGGACACTTCTCTGTGCACAGTATCACCACTTTGCCTAAAGGAACCTGGACATTATTAATGTTATCCTTTCTCTTTCATGCATTAATTATACTGTATCTGGAAACTACAGCCACAATTACAGCCTAAAGTCTTTTTGAGTGTGATGCTACAAAGTTGACACACCTATTTTTGGGCAGTTTCTCTTGTCAAGTGCACAGCCATTTTCACATATCTCCAGGGCTGGGCTCTGGCTAGGCCACTCAAGGACATTCACAGACTGCTCTCTAAGACACTCCTTTGTTATCTCGGCTTGGCTATCTTGGTTCATTGTCCTGCTGGAAAATGAACCTTCAACCCAGTCAGATCCAGCACACTCTGGAGCAGGTCATCATCAAGGACGCCTCTATGAAATGCTGCATTCATCATTTATCTGCATTTCATCCTGACTAGTCTCCCACATCAAAACATCCTCACATCATGACGCTGCCACCACCATGCTTCACTCTAGGGATGATTATTATGATAAGCTGCGCCCGATTTCCTCCCAATGCGATACTTGGTATTGAGGATATAGAGTTCAGTCTGTTTCATCACACCAGAAATTTTGTTTCTCATTGTCTGAGAGTCTGTTAGGTGGCTTTTACTAAGGAGTGGCTACAGTCTGGCCACACTGCCATAAAAGCCTGATTGCGGAGTCCTGCAAAAATGGCTGCCGTTCTGGAAGGTTCTCTTCTCCACAGAGCAACACTGGAGCTTTGCAGAGTGACCATCAGGTTCTTCTTTATTTCACTGTCTAAGTTTTTCTGCCTTGATCGTTCAGACTGGCCATGCTGGTAGTACAATACTGGTAGTTCCAGACATCTTCCAATTACAGACGATGGAGGCCTCTGTGCTCATTGAGCCTTCAATGCTGCAGAAATGTTTTAGTAATGTTCCCCAGATCTGTGCTTCAATACAATCCTGTCTCAGATGTCTACAGACAATTCTTTGGACTCCATGGGCTGGTTTGTGGTCTGACATTAACTGTTAAGTATTGCACCTTATATTGTTTTCCTAATCATGTCCAATCAACTGAATTTATCACAGGTGGACTCCAGTCAAGTTGTAGAAACATCTGACTGATGATCAGTCGAAACAAAATGCACCTGAGCTTATGTTTGAGTGTCATGGCAAAATTTTTTTTTACAAGAATATCAAGCAAACTTTAGGGTATTGTATGTAGAAAATCATTTAATTCGTTTTTGGAATAAGGCATGACAATCTGGACAATCTGCACTGTAAACATGAAAGCTGAAACCTAAAAACTATAACAACACTGAAGCACTATAACAAACAGTATGGCAGCTGGGTTATCTTACCTTAAACAGCTGAGATTTGGTCCTGCGAGGGGAAACAGTGAAGGGGATGTTCAACACGGATATATCACTCACAGGCTTGACTGTCACCCGCTCAGCCGGCGTGTGTGGCCTCCGTGCGGGGGACAGGGTTCGGCTGATACCAGGAGGAGGGCCTGGTGGAGGTATGTCTGCTGATGATGGTGGTACTGAGACACAGCGAGGAGAGCCCTCTGACCTAGGTGCTGAAGAGGAGGGAGGCACAGTAGATGGTGGGCGGGGGCCAAATGGATACTCTGGGGCCGGGGTGTAAAGCGGTGCGGTAGGGCTGCCGTGACGGTACTGGTGGCGCTGCTGCCACTCATACAGTTGCCAGACAGTGTTGGACGCCGGGCCCCCCTGATCTGGGGTCAGGCGAAAGTGACTCAGGCGGTCCTGGGCATACTTGTACTCGCCGAGTCGGCCAGGTGGGGGACTTTGGCGAGGAGTTTTTGGCAGGGTTTGGTAGGCGTCGATGGAGGTGTACTTGTGTTGCGTTGGTGGTGTGCGACGAGGGAGGGTGTTCTCTCTGGATGGGGCACTGTTAAGTAGAAACAGCAAGAAAACATTAGGCTACTTCTAAGGGCAAAAAGGCAACATTGACACATCATTAGCACTTAATTTGATATAAACTTATACTTTATTCGTCATTTGAAGGCACAGTGTGAGTTTTATCTCCTATGCAGATGCCAGACAACTATACATGCAGAAGTAAATGTTACTGGCACACTGCCTCCTTACACCTGAGCTGTATATCTGTAAAGTTTGGCCAATACTGTAAAAACCTTGGGGTGACTTTTAACAACCACTTCAGGTCAAACAAGCTTGTTGTTTTAGTTGTCCAGTCTTATTTTATGCAGATTAGGAGACGTAAGATCAGCTCGATTTCATCTAAAACAATTGTAAAGACGGTCATACATGGTTCTATCTCCTCTTTGTTAGATTATTGCAATTTATTCTACATGTTTAAGCTACAAAGACTACACCAACTTATAGCTGTTCCAAAATGCAGCCAGACTTCTTACTAAACCAAAAAAAGAGAACATGTCACTCCAGTTTTAGTTTCTCTTCATTTGTTACCCATTAATTTTAGAATTAAGGTTTTAATTATGAGAATTTAGTGTTGATTTTTACGGTTCGCTCTGGGCTCACACCAAAGTACATTTCAGATCTTCCGACACCATACGCTCCTGGTCATAGCCTTAAGCCCTTACCTAAAGCTCTGCTGCCCATCACACAACCTTGGCTGAGCACCAAGGGTAATCAGGCTTTTTCGATCAGGGCACCCACTCTTTGGAACAATCTGAGGAGACGGTTTCAAGGGGAGCTCACTATCGTCTTTTAAATCCCTCTTAAAGACATATTCTTCATAAGCAGGCTTTTTCTGTGCCTCCACTTTCACCTTCATAGCTGTTTTATCATCTTCTCCTAGTGATAATTTTTAATGTACTTTAATTTTTCATATCTGTTGCTAATTCACCTGTTTTTTTGTTTGTTTTTTAAATTGGTTTTATCTCTCACTTTCATCTCCTTGTGCTGCCAGCATTCTGATACCTTATAAAGTTTCACTTTTATCTGTTCTTAAATTTTTTATTTGTTGTTTGTTTCCCATCTTGTTCTGTGAAGCACTTTGTAACTTTGTTTGGAAAGAAAAAAAAAACATTTTTGTATATTGCAATGACCTACCCTTTGTACTCAGCCTTCTGTACTTTGACCCACTGCTCCACCTGGTCAAGGGTACTTCTCCTCTGAGCGTGCTTTTGTGTGTTATTAGCAGGTGGCTCTGGGGCCCTTTGATACGTCCCTGCTGCGATGCCGTTGGGTTCCAGTATGGGGCTGGGTGTGGAGACCAGGCCATTTCTTGTGCAAATGCTGGAGGGCAAAGTCGAAGCGGCTCGTGACGGAGCACGGGACGGCACCCTGGACACAGGCGCTGAAGCCGAAATGTGATCTGGCTGTGGTACGGCAGAGGGTGCGGGATTAGATGGGAGGGAAGTGTGCGTGTCCATTTCTAGGCCAGTGCTTCCTATGGGGGGATCCAACATGATGGTGGCAGGAGAGTCTTTGTGAAAGCTGCAACGCTCCTCTGCGTCACGGTGTATGGGCTCCAGGAGAACCTCATGAATCATCTGTCTTGTTGTCTCAGAATCGAAAGTCTTGGTCTTGTGGTGGCTTACATGGTTTGTCTGTGGGACAGCCTGCTGCGACAACTTATCAGCTGGTCTGTGGAGAGTGGAGATGGCAAAAATCAATGAATGATGTCATTTTACACTCTTATACCCTTAACAATGTAATTAACAATATCTGTAATTCGGATAGCAGTTTTGTTCCTCAGGCTTTTCGAAGGACTGCAGTGGCTCCTCCTCAATAACAACCAAGTCTGTTTCGTTTCATTTCACGGATACCCCGTACACGTTATAAGCCAGAGTTCTAGCATTTTAATCTTCTTTTCTGTTGTAGTGAACTCAATTTGTACTAGATGGTGACTACCACATGAAAGGGAAACTTTTCCTCAGCATCCTTAGCTTTATGAGCAGGCAAAGACCAAAGAAGTCACAAAGCAAACAGATGACACTCAAAGCCTGGTAACCATATCTCTATTTCAACCACATTAATGAAATCCCATGTAAACAAAGCACTCAGCCAGAAGAAATAGGCCAGTCTCCGGCACACCAAGTCATAGTTAGTTTAGTTTTAAAGAGGTGTTCAGACAAGCCCAGGTGATACTGTCCCCGTCAATGGCTCACATCTAAACATATCAGAATGAATTAGCACTACAGTGAGTGGTTTCTCCTCATTACTGTGGACTGTGCTAAATATAGTGTTGCTAGCTGTGCATTCCATCCATTTGCAATGAAAATAATTTTTTTGCATACTGCAGATGAAAGCCTTTAAAAAGTACTTTAAGCATGCAGTCACAGTACTTTTAGTTTAGCTTCTAAAAACACTGGAAATGGGTGAAAAAGAGGTTAAAGAAATTCCCATCTGGAAGCTGTCTTCAGCTACGTTTCCCTTCTGTTATTCACAAACAACTAGTGTAGTCTTGTGGGACTGCCCCCAAAGTAAAATACAAGATAATGAAAATAAAGAGGTGCCAGCAGCGGGTATCTGAGGTTGCTTGTGAATGATGGACTTATTTGATCTCTGCCCCTCGTAAACATATTAATAATTCATGAAGGAAGCTGCTGTTTGTTAAAAATAAAAAAAAAGCACCCACATCAGCAATCAGAATGTATTTTTTGAATGATACTAATATTACAAACAAATTCATCATATTTTGGAGAAGCAGGAGTGGAGCAGGACATTTTTTTAATTATTCTGTGAATCTTTAAGTATGATAAAAGACAACACAGTGCAAAAACAGCATGTCTCAAATTGCGAATGACAACATTCCTATTTAAACTATAGGACTGTATTCATCTGGGAAAAGAAAAAAAAATGAGATGAATAATGTTAATAATGACCTGATCATTGCATCGCTGTGGTTCTGCATCAGCGTGGCCTGGTTCATGGCCCTAAGCCAGGTGTTCATGTCTTCTTGGGTGTCGGCACTGAAGTAATAGGTTCGCATCCCAGTGTGCTCCGCCTGCGAGCCAATCACAGAGGTCTGCTTGTAAATGTACGAGCGCATACCAGTGTGGCTAGCCTGTAGGAAGAGAAAGGAGGCTGGGTCAAGTAGTGGTCAGAGGGGCACAGACATTACTTGAGAGACAGAGCGCCAGATGGGTTTCAAGTCCGAGAGACAGGGGGATATCATGCTGTCCAACAAGAGAAACAACATCAAGGGCAACATAAGCACTGACCAGTACAGAAAGAGCGAATGAAGGAAATCACACAGCAGAAATACAGAGACAATAACGCCAGCCAGTTACAACCCACAAAGGCACAACCTTCAAGCAATGAGAGGAAAGATACTGTGCTATGATGGAACACAAAAAAAACAAAAAGTTAGTGTCAGGGCAAAGATCCCTAACCCCAAATTTTCTTCATGAACCTGTCCCCATTTGAACCTTTTTTTTTCTTCCTACTTCCTTTTCCACAACAGTAAAAATACAACAGCTTTTATAAGGTGCTTGACAAGACAGGTCCATAAATCACAGTGTTCTGCAAAGAAAAAGCAGTTGTCTACTGAGTTATTATATTTAGCACTGACAAATTTAAAATGAATATATCTTTATATACCTTTAAAATTTAAAAGGATATTAGTTCACATTCACTTAATTATTAGATTAGATTAATGTAGCTTCAGTCTAAAGACCAAACAGTGAAGTCTGCAGCTGTTCAAATGTAGGTGAGCATTTAACAGCTAGAGAGTTTGATATTTCTCTCAAAAATTACACAGGACAGAAATAGAACCAAAGCTGAATGAATAATTGGACTCTTTAAAAAAAAAAGCAGCTAAAGCACAGCTGTAAGCATGAGTGCTGCTCCGTGCCTCAACCTACACTATAGTAACTCCAAACTTGGTGATATCTCAGCTTGCTCCACTTCCCCAAATAGCCCTAAAATCATTTAATGCATCTCTAAATAATTTGTCTGCAGATATCGCCTACATTTCCCCTTTACTGCGCCCTAGAAAACACATGCAGAATAGTTATGTTCAGCAGGTCTTTCTGTTTGTGTAGGAGGAGACAGCAGTAATACCAGCACTACCACAGTAAGTGCATAAAAGGGAGGATTTTTTTTTTTAGTCAAAGTAAAAATGATTTTTTTTTCTTTACTCAAAAATCAACATGTTCTTGGCTGCACTGCACTGAGGTCTACTGAGAATACCATCAGAATGGAAGTTAGCATCTCTGCCTCTCCTGCCAAATCCCAAAGTTTTGCTGAACTATGAAACCCAAGGAAAGACTAGAGATGCTTAAGCCAAGTACTGTTTGATAATTCATCTATAATACACACTCAGAGGATATTTTTGCTAAATAACTAAACATTATGTCACTGATACTGTAATTTGCCAGCAATCGTCAGCAATGGGATAATATAGCATCAAAGAAGCAGACCGGCCTTAAATTCAATGAACAGTGTATCAGTAAGGCAGTTTTTAATTAAAGAAGTCTAAGTGTTTAGTATGCTCAATAAAGATCTCCGTGTAAATGTGGGGTTATTAGAGCTCCTTTTAAGTGAGCTGCACTCCATTGAGCACAGCTCTATAAATGTCCTACTTTTCCCTTTCCTTCCTTTTTTCCTTCCTGCAGTGTTTCAGTAGTTGGGACTGGAAGACAAATGAGAGCACCCACTCAACAACAGATGCATTTTAATTTAAAGTAATTAGCCAGTCCTCCCTGTCCCAATCCACTGTCTGAATAATGAAGGCAGGATAGAGCAGTGTGTACGGTGTGTTGCTGTGGGATCCACAGAATTTCTCAGAGATTTTCTTACTCTGTTTATAATGTGATAAAATGAATGTAATTCTTGCATTCTTGTATTACAGCGTGACAGTCGGGAACACACAAAGCATCGCTCCCACGCTGGCTGTTTAATGTACACACTTAACACGCTCATGAATAAAACAGACTGTCAGTCCTGCTGTTATATCCCTGTTAATATAAACTCTAAATAAACCCTGGCAAACAGACGCACACATGCACACGCACAACATGTGAACTCACCTCCCCTCTGCACTGCAGCTTAAACAAGCTCATTTCGGCGGCTGCAGCGAAACACGACAAAAATAACTTGGAATATACAGTAATTCTAGTCACTATGCTAAAGTGTGGGCTTGACCCTGATGCTGCTACATATTTGAAGATCGGGGAGGTAACCGCATTCCTCACCTGATGCACACAGGAATCAATAACCTGGCAGCTAAGCAAACACTTTCATGAGCTTTAGGCAAATGGAAACAAGGGAGGGGTATGGATGGGCTACGCATTGAGGAAACCTTATTTGGACTGTATGGAGGTGAGAGGCTGATAATGCCCTCATCATGAAGGTTACAGATTATGGTTGCTGAGCTAATACATATTATCCTTTGACATATGGGATGATCAATTAAGTAAAACATGTGATAGATGATTTTGTGGGTGACTTTTTCTCATTGTGACAAGGCCTTAAAAAAAAAAAGTACTATTTTCCGCACTATAAGGCGCACTTAAAATCCTTTAATTAATCCTTTAAAAATCGACCGTGCACGTTATAATTCGGTGCGCCTTATGTATGAATTCTGGTTGTGCTTACTGACCTCGAACGGATTTTATGTTGTACACGGCACTCAAAAGTCTGTCAAAAATGCTTTAGTATGACTTTGGCAAGCTATGAAGCCGCACTGCTTGATGGATTGTCGGAGCAGTAAGGCTACCGTAGTCAGGAGCCTCGCGGAGTGATACGGTTTCAAATTCCGTTTCAGGTCCCAAAGTCAAACGAACACTGCGGCATCACTGAGAGTTAAAAACTGTCTAAATTCTTTCATCTTTAATAAAATGATCAGTGTTGCTGCTTTACCAGGTGTAACAATTAAGTTTAACATCCAGGTATCCATGAAAACAGGATTTATTAAATTTAACCGAGTTAGAAGTTAGCAGGAAGTTAGCGCACTAGTTTCCACCTAAACATGATATTGCATGTTCTGACTGAGAGATTTCTGAAAAGATTCAAACGTACAGCTCTGCTATCACTTCCAACATAAATGAAGACAGAAAACTAAACAGCAGTGATGTTTGTAGGGTTACTGAAGTTGGGCTAGCTGGTATATAATGATGTGATACGTGATCACTAGCGACACAGCTATGTTAGCATAACATAAACTGAAGCTGGAGGACGAACGCTAACTTTTTTCCACTCAATAAAAGTTAACGTGAGGGTTCCCGATGGTTAGGGACAAATGCAATCGCATGGCAGGATGCTGTAAATGGACCAAACTTCAGTCAGGAGAACAACTGAGATAATCCATCCACAATACGAGGTTAGTCATTAATATACTGCAACAACATGGGAATAGAGCAGCTGCCAGAGAATTCAACATTAATGAATCAATGGTACAGAAGTGGAGGAAGCAAGAAGAATGAGTTTAATAAAGTTTGATTTATCTGACTGTTTTGTTTCGCTTAATGCGCCTTATAATCTGGTGCGCCTTATGGTCCAAAAATACTATGATTTCCCCAGACTGGATCATCTAGGACAGCTATCCTGTCCTATCATAACAAGACTCAAAAGTCTCAAAAAGCTAAAATAAAAAAATAATATTATCCATTACTCTTTGAATGGTAATGTTTTTGTATGTCACTGACATTTGAGACCAAATAGTATATCAACGAATGGAAAAATAATCAGATTAACCAATAAAGAAACCCTATCTTATCTTTAGTAATCTCCTTGTAACTAGTACAAACATCTCAGACCATAGTGTAAAACAGTAAACTGTATAAAACAATATAAATGTGCTATATCCAAGCATTTGCATTCAGTACAGCTGATCTATATGTAAAGAAACAATTAAAAGATGCAGACTACAAAAAGAATCCTGCCACCCTTTCACCACAGGTCACATCATTGATTTAAAATGTGCCATCAAAAATTTTCATGTCTCTACTCATTAAAAAATAAAAAGCACACCAGATTGAAAATATTTTTCTTTTAAGGTCATTGTGTGTCTCTTCACAGCTTCTAGTGCTCCAACTATTTTTAGATTGCTCCTTGGAAGTGTGGCTGTGATCACTTGAACTCATGAATCCGAAATGGCTGCTAGATTTCCTCTATTCAACAAAAGGGGTGGAGAGGCTCATGGTGCCAACTATGGAGAGTAACTATATAGTGTATTGGTTCAGCCAAAAGGATTTTGCCTTTTCAGTATGACGGGACACTTGGTTTTATGAACCTTCATATTCCTCAGGGCATTACAGTAACTACACACGACTCAACAAAGAAGTGGTGGAAGGTGGGAGAAAAAAAAAAAAGAGCATGCTTCTCTTCACACTTCTACCCTGGCCTCTGGATCTTACCTTAGCAGGGCCTCAGGTCCGACTACATTTGATATTCTTGGCATAAAAGTAAAAGTCCCTTTAACACAGAAGTCAATGTTTTCTCTCTGCATAAGGTTCATGTCCAAGGTGAAACTGCAAATGTGTATCTGCAAGTGGTCTAAACAACACTTTAACAAAGTGATCCAAACTTAGCAGGAGTCCTGGAAGTGGCCCAGACAAATTTTAATCAAGCAATGTTTTTGCTTTTATCAAGCTTTTTATAACATTTCAAATTATGTTTGCTTGTTTTAAAGATGCCTTTGCACTTGTTTGCTGCGGTGTTTGGTTAAAAAAATATGTAGGTTTGCCATGATGTTACCCAGAAGAAAACCACAGATGTAAACTGTGAAGGGCTCAGCTGGCCTTTCACTGTCAGGACTGGAGATGTGTTAAGGCATTTCAGGGGCCAGGAAACAGTCAGGGAAACTACTTAACAACTATTCATCATAAATGTGAACTCTAGATATGTCCAAAGAACATGCTAAATATCTTGATGAAAGCAACACAGCATCCTCAGGAAGCAGCTGTCAAAACACGCCTGTTCACTCACCGTCAGCACTCTGACAGATGGCCTCTTACAGCTACAATGGGACAGGCTGCTTGATGAGAGAGAGGGGGCTGTGCTACTAGTCAGATGTTTAGCCACGTGCAGGAATGCAGAGAGCACAGATGCAGACCAGAGGTT